TATTGTTATTGGAGAAAAGAATTGGGGGAGGGAGGAGGGTCTTCGAAAGAAAGTCAGTCAGTTGATGAAGCATTTGGCCATTTTGAAATGTCATTAGAAAGAAACCAAGCCAGTTATTGCCACCAAAATCGACGTTTTGGGAAACGTGAAAAAATACAAGATGACTAATTTCTAAATCTTCTTTCTTGCTTTCGTCATTGCAAGAATAGTCTTCTAAGTACGTGCGGCACTTATATAACCTTATTGTGTTGGAAGTGCCGTAAAACTCTTACTAAAACAATAAGTAGGAGCAACGTATTACCTTATAGTTATTTAATTTTGAAAACATTTGGTCGAAAAAATTGTCAACATTTGAAACTACTGCTTACTTCTGCGCTTGGAAATCCCTTTTTTTGTTGGTTAACCAAAGATCGTACATAACAAGATAGTTCACTCCTCTCTTTGTGCCAGTTAAAAAAAAGTGTCCTTAAAATCCAGGGGTGCCCTCTTCGAAAAAGTTTCGGACTTTGCGATCACAGTTACCCTACTAGTGCGAAAAACAATAAAATCGAAATTAACAAACTGTGTTATTCCTATTCTTCTTCTGGAAAAATGAAAGAGAGCTTCAAAACAGAGACTGGAGCGCCACCTGAACCACTGCGCGGACTTCAGCGGACAATTTTTTGGCCGAATGAACTATCTTGTTATGTACGATTTTAACTGAAACACACTGATCGATAGATTAATGTGATTTCTAGGAAATATTAAAATTTCATGGGCGCTTCGAAGCGTGAGGTCGCAATTCATTCTATTCAAATACCGTGTGCGATTGTTTTTTTTATATTTTTTATTTTATTTTTACGTGTATAATAATAAATCCATCCGCAACATCCGCTGTTGAACATTCATTATTCACAGCGCGTTTTGCCGAACGCACAAAGTGCTGACGGATGCACAGAGCAATACGATGACGTAAAATCAACATTTTTTTGAACGTTTCGAATTTCGAATAAGGGAAAGTCCCCAGTGCAGTGCTACTGGCAGAAGTTGTCTTTAGGCCATTCCCAAAACACCCAGTGCCAGTTCTGCGA